GAACTATCCCCTCTGGAACCCATAGAGCCCCAGCTTCCATGTCAGTATCCATTTCCTACTGGTTCAACCCTAAACCCTAAACCAGCACCCTAAACCCTAAACCCTAAACCCCTAAAACCTAAACCCTAAAAAAACAACAAAAACCAACACTCTCACGTATTCCCTCAGGAGGAGTCGATGCTCACCATTTCCATCTCTGAGTTTCTGGGCTGATTTAAGATGGGATTTTAGGGTTTAGGGGTTTAAGGGTTTAGGGGTTTAAGGGTTTAGGGGTTTAAGGGTTTAGGGGTTTAAGGTTTAGGGGTTGAGGGTTTCGGAGTTTAGGGTTTAGGATTTCTGGTTTGGTGTCTCGGGCTACGGGCTGAGGGTTTAGGGTTGCAAGGGGAGAAGGCTTTTGGAGTGTTGGGCACTGGAAGAATGGGACGCGGGATGGAGAATCAAATGGTGCCTCTTGATGTATTCGAAATCAACAAGCAGCGGAGCAAAGCAATGACATCCATGAGTCCAGAAGTGTAGGATTGTGGATTTGAGGGCTTTTAGTTCGAGGGTATTCAAGGCTCCATATGAAAGAATGGATCCCTCTGAGTACCGTACATCTGTCCAAAAGATTCCAAAAGTACTAGCACCCAGCAGCGGTGCAGGCGCTCCTCCAGACACATGAGTTCCTGTAAGGGGGGCCCAGCCTCGTCTATCCCAACATATTGCAGAATTATAGGCACCCCAGAACAGAACGCATCATGTTTTGGAAGCACCCACATGCAGCAAGCACTCGTTTTCTTGGGGACCGGGAGGCAGGAAACCAACGTGCAAGATTGCAGTGCAGCCTGCGAGTTTATCAGAATAGCCGCCAGGACCCCCGGCAATCCTCAAATCACCCGGTCCTTAGGCCCTCCCGTTTTGAGAAACCTCCTTCTGGAAGCTGCGGAGAGGCCAGTCTGGGGTTATGGCTGGTCCCCCTGTATCCTAAACCTAAAGCCTACAACCTGGGGCCCTAGGCTCCAACAACCCCAAACTCTAAGCCCTTAACCCGGAAACCAAAGCCCCAAGCCCATAATCCGAAACCCTAGGCTCCAGGCCCTAAACCCGAAACAGAGCGTCTTGGAGCCTGAAATTAAATTTCAAAGCCCTGAACCCAGGGCACAAATCCTTTTTTAAGGTTAGTGTTTGTAAAGGGTTTAGGGCGTAGAGTTGAAAGATTTTGGGATGTAGGCTTTAGGGTTCGAAGTGCTTTTGGGGGGAATATTCAGGCCTACATATGATCATATCATAGTCATTATCCAGCTGTTACTGCGTGGGGGCACTATCCAAACCCACTCCCTGTACCTAATTCCCAAGCTGTACAACCGCTATTCCTGGCCTGAATCCTAAACCCTAAACCCTAAAACCCTAAACCCTAAACCCTAAACCCAAAGCCCTAAACGAAACCTATATCTTGCGCCCTCCTCCCTGCAATCTGGAGCCTGAACCCCGAGTGGGGTCTCCTCAATGCTGTCTAGTGTTTAGGGTTTAGGTCTAGGGTTTGGGGTTTAGGGCTTTCTTCTGGGAGTCCAAACAACCAAAGACTTTAGATCTGAAAGGATAACTCCCAATCTACGACAAGTTCTAAAACCGAATACCCTAAATAGTCGCTATGTACTTCTTATAGAACCCCTAGAAGCTGCCCCACCCTTCTAATCACCTAGGCACCTAAGCCCTAAATCCCAAGCCCTAAGTAGTAGTTCCCACGCCTTTTTCCATTCCGAAGCCCTCTACACAACTCCACACCCTAAACTCTAGTTTTCTGACCCTATATATCCCTATATAACCCTATATAATCCTACCTAATCGTATATAACCCTATATAACGTTATATAGCCTCTTTACGTACCCCGTATATAACTGCTTACCATCCCCCAAGCCCTGTGGGCCCCAGGTCCCTTGCCGGAAACCCGGCGGGATGGTCAGCGCCAGCCTCAGACTTTTTTTTTGTTGCTTGGTTTAGGGTTTTAGGGTTCAAGTTTAGGGTTTTAGGGTATAGGCTTCTAGGGTTTACGGTTTCAGAGTTTAGGGTTTAGGGACGAGATTATGTAGGGAGGAATCCACCTTAGGCAACAGTGAGCTCTTTTTGCTCTGCGCTTTGTCCGGGTCCTAGGGTTTCAGGATACAGGCGTTTCAGTTTAGGTTTCAGCGGGGATTTGGGGCTTCAACTTCAGGGCTGGCGGGGTTGAAGGGATTTAGGGTTTAGTGGTTTAGGGTCTAGGGGTTTAGAGCCATAGGGGTTGGGGTTTTTGGGGTTCAGGTTCAGAGTCAAGTTGCAGAGGCGTGGAGACTGAGACATGTCAGGGCCCTAAACCCCAAAAGCTTACATCCTGAGCCCAGACGTCAACCCTAGACCCCTCCCCCTCCCCTCTCCATACCATCCTTAAAATACACCCCCATAATCCTCATGTATACGCATTGTTAAGAGTTTAGACTGGAGTGACCAAGCGACCCTTATGTAGAGAAATATCCTAACATCTTGATTTTCCTGTCTTCCTTACAGGCATGTTTCGGTGCGAGGTTAGGGGAAGACATCCAACGGTTTGATTTCTCTTCATAGGCTTTTGGGTTTGGAGTAGGCTTTAAGGTTTAGGTTTCGGGTTTTAGGGTCCCTCAAGGTGGCTTTGTGATTGCTTGAACGAGGCGGAGTCCTTGACCATCCTTCTCCTTTCTGGTGCTTAAGGGGTCATGGAGGAGGGGTGGGTAGCATAGCAGGGTATACTCGCCGATGATATAAGGATGGTTATTGGGATCCACTCCGCCACCCCCATCCTCTATACTCGAACTACAGAAGCTCTACGTAGGGATGATGCCAAGGGCTTCTGAAAAGGAGTTCCTAGGGGTTGTGCATGGGTTATGGCCTTGTGACGAAGCCCATATAGAATATCATGCTGTGTGAGGCGTTCTGCCTACATAAGTCCACCGAAATGATTATTGACACCCTACCCATGCTCATATTTCTATGCATACCTCCCCTGGGTTTGAAGCCTAGGCTTGTGTTCAGGCCTCCATTCAGGATGGGCGGACATGGGCGTGGCTCACTGTTCCATGTACTATAATAGTTACGCTCACACCGGCTGTTTCTGACTGCCGAGGAGTGGAATGGTGATGCGAAGAAGATGTACCTCACAGGGCTTGAAGGTTTAGATGCACAGCGAGCGGCACCTGGTGGCCCGACGCTCAACGGCTATGCCCACGTGTGGAACGAGGACGCAGAGCCGAGAGCGTCGGAGACCACCACTTCATCCTTGACTTCTTCTTCCTTGCCATGGCCCGTACCCCACCTTGAAGCAATGCCCACGATGCCGGCGTCGTCCTGGGCTTCCCCTCTACGTGTCCCCCTACCTGAACCCGTCATCAACGACAAGCCCTTTGACGAGCCCCTTGAGTTGCCACCACACCTTTCCACGATGATTGAGCAGTTCGCAAATGTCGACCCAGCTCCATGGCAGGAGGATGCAACAACATCCTTCTTTCAGCCACCTCCCGGGCTAGCAGCCGAGCAACCACTCGCAGGTCCGAAGGTGGCCCAAAATGCACCCAAATCAGTTGTGCCCGTTGCATCAGATGTAGAGCTTCCGCCTGGCATCAAGATCTTTGGCATCGACTATGCCGGCTCCATGTGCACACGCGTTGAGTGGCGGATTGATGACCTCAACGGCAAGCTCCAAGCCAGCATGGGGAGACCGTTGGTTTCACCTCCTTTCGCTGCTCTCGGCCTACCAAATCTTCGTTTGATGGTGTTTCCGGACGGACGGGAGACCATGAAGAATGCCCGGAGCAGTGAGCGAAAGGGTCTCTACACACAGATGATCAAGAAGGGCCCCCTCCACGGCTCCCTCAAGCTCAAGGCGGACTGCCTCCAGTGTGCCACAGTCATGACCGTCAACCTCCTGGTTGGCCAGGTGCTCCAGGGGATTGAGTAAAAGTGAAAGCTTAGGGATCCACAGCTGCGGCGCTTCTTTAGTGGCAAGATGTCATTCACCGCCTAAAGCTCAAACCCCCAACCTCCAGGCGCCAAACCTAAAACACTCAACTTCACCCAGAAGCCTCAACAACCTGAATCCTAAACCCTCACGCCTAAAGGGTGTGAACCGGGTCAGGTGCGTGCGGGACCTCTGGTTTACGACTTCTCGGAGCAGGCAATCCACGGCCTGGACGACTTCGGGGTGGACTGGTTGAAGCAGGCGTGCTGCTGAAGCGAAATTACTTGGCTTTGCACGGGTAGTTTCTAGCATAGGGTCATAAGTACTGCAACCAGGGGGTAGAGCTGGTATAGATATGGTAGCTAATGTTGGACCCGCTTTAGTGCG